GGAGGAGGAGGAGGACTTAAAATACAGTGGAAGAAGAAGAAGAAGAAGAAGAAGAGGAAGAAGAGGAAGAAGAGGAAGAAGACGACTTAAAATACAGGGGAACTCCAGTTTTTGCCAGTGTGGAGTAAAATACTGCTATTAATTAATTCACTAATTAATTGATGGATAATAGCAGTAATAATATCTTTATCTGACAATGATGCTCCATCCTCTGCTCTTCCCCAATGTTTTTTTCAGGTGTGGCTGGTTTGTAGAACCTATATTTGTTATTCTGTAAGGGTGAGGAATTAATGACCCAGGCAGATAAAAACTTGGGGGAAGAAATGACTTATTAATGGCTCTTTCAATTGGCAAGCTCTTTCCTAAAACAAATGAGAACGCAATGCGGGGCCACCCTTTTCCTCACTCCCTCTGCATTCCCCAGGAAAAGACTAATGCCTTTTTGCCAAGTCATTTCTTCCCGATAGGGCAGAACTTTTTCTTCCCTCATTGAAGGCTCCCCCCCACCTCAAACCCCCCCCCCCCCCCATTTCTTTTGCTGGAAAGGTTACATTTTGAAACCTCACATCATGAATCAGAAAGTTAGCAGCTTCTGGCAGGTCGTAAATCAGGTCTCGGGAGTCGCTGGGACAAATCCCAGGACATTTAATCTTTAATATCAGACGTGTTTAAGACGGTGAATATTTTATGAAGGAGCTGTTGCAATTTAGCATGTCATTAGCCTGTCTTAGTTCCATCTTCCCTCCTTTGGAGTGATCCCCCACCCTATTAAAAAGACAACCTCAGCCAGATGAACTCTAATTTGCTTGCCTTTGGCAAAAAAAAAACAAAAAACCAGCCAATTCCTGGGAGACATGGAAAGGTCTTTTCAGTTTGTTTGAGGGCCCTGTGATCACAGCAGTGTTTTGTCAAACTGTATTAGAGCCCAAGCAGAAACAGCATTTGAGCCAAAATATATGGGGAAGGGGTGCCATTTATGTATCCTCCCTGAAATATTTCTCAGATCGAAACTAGGGAGGTTGTAATGTTATATTTCTACTGTCCATGATCACTACATCAGTGCTACCTTAACTAGAAGGCCCTGTGAATTATTTATTTACACCGGAGTATTTCTTTACTATGGACCCAATGCCTTTAAAAAGAAAATGGCCGCGTTTGTTAGTTTAGATCAAGATTTATTTAACATACATGGTTGCATCAGCCTGTTATCAACAGTGTGAAATACATCTTGGAAATTCCTTAGGCTACGCATTGCATAATTCCTTTGTATATGCGCTAGAGAGAGTTGGTGAGTCCTCTTGATGTTCACTACAGATGGACACATTTATTTCTCTGGTTGAATATCGCTGGGATGAGAGGCATTGATTTTTCTGTGCACATGGGTAATTGATAGAGTTTGCACTCACTTCTCTCCATGTACACACTGCAGAAATGAAATGTGTTCCTTTCTTTTTCCATGTTTTTATGAGATGCATTGATTCCCCATCTTTTCCTTATTTTAGCTGGGCTTTTGTCAGTTGCCTTATTTACAGCCTGTTGTTTATTCCCACCTTTCAGCTCCAAACCTTTTGTCCTCTAAAACTGGAAACCCTGAATGGTCACAAATGTACAGAGATGAATATATTCTCCATCTCATGTTGGAGGACCCATGACTCTACAGGTCATGCTCAGTTACAACCCTCACTACCCCTGACTATCATTCATGTTGACTGGGGCTTCTGGGAATTTGGGACTGCTGGGGAATTGGGGATTGGGACCACTTTCTAGGTCTAGACAGACATGGAACCCTGGACTTGATTTCTCTTTCTGCATCCATGTTGAGTAGAATGCAGCGAGAGCCTGAAGTCTGAGAATTGCTGAAAGCCGAGAAGCAGATATTCAAGAATCAGATTGTTAATAAAGCAAGGGTTAAATGAAGGAGCAGCATAAAAAATAAACCTTTTTTCAATCCCAGATACATTTGTGGCAGAAGAAACTGCATTAATGTGGGGAAGGAGATATCAGATAAGCAGCTGTGCTTCAAAGAGGCCCCCCCTCCCAATGTACAGCTGTGCTTAAAACCTGTCCCAGCTTGGTGCTTTGTGAGTGGAAGGTGTCTGCTGAAAGCAAAAGGGGAAGAAAAATCAACATGGGCTTTCAAAGGTTCTTGGATGAACAAATCCAATTAATCTTTTATTATTTCTTTCTCTCTGTTTTTTTTTTTTTTTCCCCCCACAGAGCTTGCTTGGGGATATGTATTTTTGCAAAACAAGGGATCAATCTGAGCTAGCAAAAAGCAGCTGGCCATTCTTCAAAAAGAAAGATGGTGGGGGAACGAGAAAGGCAATGGGTAGATGACTTTTGACTGCATTTGTTATGAGTGGCGGGGGTCATCTGTTACCATTTCCTTTTTTGAATAAAATAGGAAGATGGCAGGGCACGCTTTTACCCATAGATTCTACTTTTGAATATATATTTGTTCATGTTTTATGATAGTGGTGCCAAAGATTTTGGGGGGCAAGGGGGAAGGGCAAGCGTAGGCCAATATTAATGGGCAATATTAGTATTGACTACAAACGTAAGCAGGAGTTGAACATTTCTAATGTACTCACTTTGTTTCCAGGTGAGTGCAGCTGCCACGAAGGATACGCCCCTGATCCTGTACATCGGCACCTCTGTGTCCGCAACACCTGGGATCACAGTGAAGGGTGAGCATGCCAAGGTCTTCTGGGGCTGGGGAGCAGGGAGGCAGCATCCAGGGAAAGCTGGGAAGTGGATGGAAGAAAAAGCGAGGCCCAACTCCAAGGACGACATAAGAGCAGAATCTTGTGCGAGGGAACAAGACTTTTTGGAATTACCAACCAGAAAATTCAGGTATCATCATCAGCAAGAATTCGATTCATCCTGAGCACAACCTGCTCCCCAAATTCTGCCCGTCCGTTTGCTCTTTATTTACACACATTTATTGGCTGCCCAACTCCAGCGGACTCTGGGCAGCGTTCAAAACTAAAACAAAGCAAAGCATAAAAACAGCCAGAGACGTTAAATCAACAGGCAGCCCGGTTTAAAATACTCTGGGAAGAAAACCCACAAAACAAAATGGGGCTGTTAAACAATGACAAACATCAACCCCAAGTCTGAGACCAGAGCCAGGTTTTCAGGGTTTTCTGGAACCCTAGGAGAGATGGCACCATCCTTATCTCTAGGGGATGCTGTTGGGTTCAGGAACCAGTTGTTAACCAAGGGTGGATGGCATCAGGATATGGAAGTTGATGATGACTTTATTTGACATTGCTTTGATGATTTGTAGCATGCCATTGGGTGTTGTTCAAGGGCGCAAGCATACTCCATTGTTTTGCTCCCTTGAAATCTCCTTTCCAGAAGGAGAGTCCTGTATAAATCATTTATTAAATGTGCATTTATTAAAGATTGGCTTCTGGTGTCAGGGAATGACATGAGGGCTGTAGCTCAGAGCTAGTACACAAAGTTTGCAAGACAAGGATCTTAGCCTCAGTGCTAAACCTCTCCAGTTAGTCAGCAAAGGACTTCTGGAATGCCACTAACAATCATTCTGATTTAAGGGGACCAATGCTCTGCAAAATGTCAATTCTGAAATCTCAGAAAACCATTAAAAGTTAAACAATGCAAGCATGCATCGCTTGATGGAGGAGAAAAGAGAGCATTTAAATAGTATTTCAATACAATCTTAATATATCAATCAATCAACAAGCGCTATAAGGCTTTAGTACGACAATAAATATAATTAAATATAGATAAGATGCCAATGCATTAGAATGCCATAAATAAATAGCATAATTATAGAAAGAAAAGAAAGGATAATAAGCTATTTTGGCTGAAGATGAGAAAATGATATGACATTGAGTAATGCTGTTATTAAAGAGTAAATGGATTTACTTCTAGCTCACTCTGCTTTTAAATTCCACCCCCTTCCATATATAACGAGTGTCTCTTGCCTCTGTTTTCATCAGCCCTTGGCCATACACAACTCTGGAAAGAGGTTATGATTTGGTTACTGGAGAACAAGCTCCTGAGAAAATTCTTAGGTGAGTCATGCAATCTTTTGGGTTTAGGTTTTGGCCCGTCTTCTTCCTATCTACCCGTTCTTGTTTTGGGTGGGCAGTTCAATTTAAGAACTTGCTGGGCTGCCATTACTAGCTTTGTTTATTCTTTTAAGCCACACAGATATTGGAATGGGTGATATTTGTGTTCATAAATAAACAAACACAAGGGATTTCAAGGTGCTTGGACTTTGTTCACAATGATCCAGAGGTACATCTCCCTCTTTCTCTCTGGCACAGAGGTACCCAGTGTTGCAAAGATTCCTTTTTGTGTTCATGCTGGTTTTCGAACCACTTCTGTTCGATCTCAACACCACTAAATTGTCTTCAGTATTCATGGGGTGGATGTATCAAGATTACACGTAGCTTACCTCACGGTCCAAATGCATGCAAGGGCGCCTTGTTTCCACTTTACAATCCTCTCTCCAGTGATACTATCGACATATAATTTTCAGCTCAACGATGCATCACTATTCTACATTTTAATTATGCTTTGATTGCCAGCTTGCGCAGATCCTGACAGTACTAGTCTAAAGATACAAGCTGTTAAAGTGAGATTCATTAGTATAGTTTCCATAATTTGGCCACCGTTGATTAACAATATGAAAAAGCCCTTAATTTCGATGAAGCCTTGTCTTTGCCAAAAGATTACCAGGATTATAGCTTCCAGAGGAAGAAAGTTACTACGGCTTAATATTTTGAGACTCCGGGCTGAGTCTTGGAACCAGAAAGTCCAGAGCCAACAAATTGGCCTCGTTCTTTGTCTTCTGCTCTCATGTGTCTTCTTTTTTGAAGGTCTACCTACAGCTTGGGCCAAGGTCTTTGGCTTCCTGTGAGTAAGAGTTTTGTGGTTCCCCCAGTCGAGCTTTCGATCAATCCATTGGCTAGCTGCAAGACCGATGTCCTTGTGACTGAAGATCCAGCAGATGTTAGGTAAGAAGGTCCTTCCTCAACTCTTGATATTGAAAAGATCTCAGCTGTGTGGTAAGTCTTCCAGATCTGTACTGAAGATGGCCCTTCAACTGCACATAGTGTAAGTTTCTCTTACTACATGAAGAACAGACCAGATTTATTTGCTAAGCCCTCCTTGTGTTCTTTCATATTCATGCTGATATTCACTCGATTAGGAGACTGTTTACTGGCTTTGGAAATCTGCGGAAGGTACAGGCATCCTTCTCAATAATTTGGATTTTCTACTTTGGTCTGAGTTCAGTCTTGCTCACCCCATAATGCACATAACTGGGAGCATTTGTCCCTAACTAAAAACTAGCAAGATGAATCATGGAGATAGCTGACAAATTGTCATTAACGAAGATATATTTCCTCCCAAAAGATCTCTGATGAGCTTCTTCAGAGTGAATTTGCCAGCCATCCAAGTCTCAGAACCAGAACTGCAGAAGATTCTCTTTAAACTGGGTGAATGAACAGCCAAATGGCAAACTTAGTTATTTTAAACTAATGCACATAGGAGCAGTGACCCTAACTTAGTTTACACAGTGATGGGGTTTGAGCTGTCTGTAACTAACCAGGAATTTATCTTGGGGTCATAGTGGATTGCTCAATGAAGCTGTTCATTCAGCAGCTGTGAAAAGGGCAAATTCCATGCTAAGGATTGGGAGAGAAAGGCCAATGTTATAAAAGCCTTATATCAATCTGTGGTGTATCTATGTCTGGAGTCTAGTTCTGGTTGCCACATTTTAAAAAGGGTATAAAATGAGGAAGAAGGCAAACCAAATGATTGGAGACTTGAATAACTTCCATGCAAGTTAAGGTGAGAACATCTGGGACTCTACAGTTCGGAAATGAAGTGCTGGGGTGGGGATAGGACCGCGGTGTATAAAATGATGCATAGCAAGAAGAAAATGGAGAGGGAGGGGTTTTTCTCCCTCTTGCAAATCTTCAGGAGCAGGGCCCGTCCATTCTTGCAGGGAGATTCAGAACAGACAAAGGGTATATTTCCTCCCACAGTGCATAATTCCCCTGTGGCATTCATTAAGACCAGACATAGTGATGGCCACTAACATCCACAGCTTTCACAAGACCTTATTTGGCCAAATTCACATGGGACAGGTCTGTCAAGGGCATTAGTCTTGAAAGTTCAATATTACCTCTAGGTTGAGGCAACATGCCTCCAGATACGAATTTAGGGGGACAACAGTTGGAAAGGTATATACCTCTTGCTTGTGAGCAATTTGGAAGCTTCTGTTTAGCTACCATGAGAAATAAAATGCTGGACTAAGACGGTGCTTGGGCTGATCTACCAGAGCTGTTCTTAATGTCCTTGAAACATGTCCTTTATTTTGCAGAACTTTGTAGAACCAGATTTGTTCTGTCCATTGCTAACATCAGCATAACATAGTAGCCATGATTTTGGACTGAGAGTAAGGAGACCCAAGTGGAACTCCTTGCTTGATCACAGAGCTCACTTGGTGGTTTGAGGCCAGTCTCAGCCCATCGCACCTCACTGGATTTGCTATGATAGAGATAAAGTGGGGGGAAAGAGGATTGTCAGTGTAACATAATGATATCATCATCAACCATAATGACACCATCATCATCACCATCATCAGTCATTGGGAAGTAGAACAATAAATAACTATAAATGATGCTTCCTCTTAGCAGGGGAGATAGTGAAGGACCAAGAACATTACAGAAAAATGTTCTTCAGATAATGGGAAAACATCACTTTTTCAAGAGAACCCCCATTTTAGAAGGAATGAACTGGAGATCCAGATACAGTTAGATGAAAACACTTAAACCAAGCCTCTCTGTGACATGCAGCAGGTGCTGAATTATTCAAAATTTAATAAATGTAGAAATAAATATTTGATGTGAAATTATGGATGCTTCCACAAATATCTCAGGAACGAAAGAGTGATCTAATGTTAGCATTAGAACTTGGGTTTTTTTCCCATCACTGATCTGCTAGATGAAATTGGCGCAGCATTTATTTTCTCCCTCCTCCTTCTCCTCTTCCTCATCATCATAGAGGTAATCACAATCACAAATGTTTTTTGTTTTAAGTTGTTGCATTGGCATCAATCTGGATCTCAATATTTATCCCCCTTTCCGCCCCCACCAATTGTGCTTCACCATATTGTTTGAAATATAATCAATATTTCTCAAACCGTCAATAGCTATATGTATTTAAATAAACATCCCATAATTGACAGCCATCCTGCTGGGTGGGGAACTTGAGCCTTCTAGTAAAATGTATCTGGTAGACATTATGTTTGAAAAAAAGCTGGTATTGGGGGTTTTTTTTCTTTAAAAAAAAATCTTCTACTAAGAAAAGGGTCTTAGGGTGGCTTACAAAGATAAATAATAAAATCAGCTGTTCATTCAGGCAGAGAATATAAAAGACACAGGACAAAAGGGAAAAGGATTGATACAATAGAAATGGAGAAAAATATACCACCTTAGAATTTTCTTAGTTATTTCTTCCTCGAGCCCAGGCTGCCGAGGCTGCATCTTTAGAAAGAAAGGCTGATAAATTAGTATTTTAGAAAAAGCATACGCATGGCAAAAATGTGAAGGGCAAGAAAATGGAGAGAAGACATTAAGTAAAATTCAGGGCAGGGTTTCATGGGTTGCAAAATCATTTATGGAGATGGCAGCCAGAAGAGGGGATGGTGGGCATGAGCTCGAATGGCTTTGAAATGAGTGGAAACACATTAGGAGGGAGAGATCAAAGGAAAGAGGCTAATATTATGTACAATGGTTAAGATGTTGTAGTAGGACCAGGGAACAACCAGGTTCATGGTCTACCCTGAGCCTCGGAAGCTCTTTAGGTGACTTTGGACCGATCACTTTCATCCTCCGCCTCACTGATTTTGCTCACACAACACACATAGCTTAGTTACCGAATCATCCCATTTTCTAGGTTGGTGCACCGTATTAAAGCACACAGATCCTAACCCAGCTTAGCTTGAATAAATGAGAAAAATATTGTTTTAATTCTGAGCTTCCCAGAAACATCCACTTGGATGCTGAGGCAACCTGAGTGCTGAAGCAGTTACATCTTCTGCCTGATTCATCAGGGCTCAGATAACTCTTCCACCAGCATCCAGCCTGAATATTAACATTGAAGGACCTTTGACAACGGTCCCAATTATTTAACAACTCTGCTTGGGGTCCTGGGGTTCTTTTCTGTTGTCTCTGAACTAGATCATTTCTTCCCTCCTTGCTTTGGTGTATGCCTGTCAGGGCATCATTTGTTCATACATAATGTACTAATAGCCACGTCCTAATTTTTTTCTTTCTTTTTTAAAAAACATCTTAACTGGGACCCTTTTGTGTTCTTCCACACCTCTGATTAGCCTGGCACCTTTGCCTGGAGGGTCATTCTCTCCCAAGAGTTTAATGGAGGAAGATTTCTAAGTGCCTTCTATTTGAGACACTTTTATAGCTCTTAAAGTACAGGTCACGCCGTGGCCTTCGTATCTTAATGAAGATATTTGGAGCACAGCTTTGATGTTCACTTGGGGCGGCTGAAAGAAGCAACGATCTGCTTTTAGTGCCACTTTAGCCAAGGATTCCCCCCACGTCCTTTGTCAATCTGGAAGCATTTGCCAAGTGCTGTTTTTAATGTAGACTTTTGTCCAGTGTGTTCTTGGATATTAACAGGCCTAGTTCCGTATAACTAATGAGAAGCAATTCAATGCTGTGATTAAGATTATATCATGAAAGGAGACTGGAGGAGCAAGGAAACTGCTCAAGGGGAAAGAGAAGAAGATGAGCATTTGCTTCTCTTCTTCTTCTTCTTCGTGTTTCTTCTTGGTTGTATGAACTGTCATTTTCATTCCTGGCCTTTTATCCGTGTTCAGAGAGGGAACCTGCAAGGAGCCCAGAAAGATAAACCTGAAGGAAACACTGCTAGCTCTAATTCAATACATGAGAACTAGCTTTCTTCAAAGGAGAAGATAAATTTGCTGAAATTCTCTCAGGTGGAGTGTTTTTACCAGGTGGCAAAAAGGAGTGTGAGACTGCCATGTCCTTCACTGTACAATCCTCTCTTCAGCAGTGCAAAGGCTCCCACATCTCAGAGGCTTCTGTTCAATCCCAAGGGAGGTCCTCAGGTATTGGAAGAACTCTTCCCATGGGGCTTTTTCAGAGGGGAATTGGGGACAGCCACAAGGGCTACAGAACTGTAGGAAAATTGAAACCAAACACAATAACCCTGCAAGGAGCATCTTCTGCTACTTCCAGGGATATGGAGTTGGGCTGGTTGCCCACACCTACCCAGTTTGTGAAAAGTGACTTTCCACCCAAACTGCTTTTCTTTATTCTTGGTGTTGCCATGTTCTGTGTGAGTCCTGTATCAGACTTCTTCACCAATAGCGGTGCTGAACTCAAGTCAGAACACTCCTCCAGGTCTACCACCATGCCAATAACAGAATTGATTGCCAGCAGTGATGTTCCTGACCTCCAACAGTGGTGACCAATGCCAGCTTGGAAGTAATGAAGTCAGCTGGTCATTGCCATCCCAGACTTTGGTTCATATCATTGGCCATGCAGTCACTGCCAGAGATGAGTGCCCTGCAGAACAGAGTTGAGGACCTCTCAGCCCTTAAAGGAAGTCGTAAGGGATTCCTCTCTATAACTGCTTCAACATGACCTCCCTGGTGGCATTCGCTATATCCCAGATTGCCCCCAGAGTCTGCTATATTTCCAGCAAAGGTCAACATGAACCCCAGAGGTATTCTTAGGTAGTAAAAATAACAGTGGCTGAAGTTGGGTGCTTTATTTGGAATTGTGCCCACGTGCTTGGAGAAAAGCAAAGGTAATCTGAGGTCAGGGTAGAATGCATTCTTGAGAGCCAGCAGGAGTAGAAGGGGATCCATGCCAATTTACCTTCTTGGAAATTGCTGTTTTGTCACTGGCCTCAGTCACTGTGGCTACTATTTTGAGGAAGTCTCCATCACCTGCTCCAA